TATCACGCGTGCACTCGCTACATTATTTATCTCAGATTCATTTTATGGATTGTGTTAACCAATTTTAGTAACAGTGCAAGGATGATGTATAAAAAGTGGGGTTAATTGGCATTTAGGTCAAGACTGGGTTCTTATATAATTTTCACGTTTAATTGCTGCTGCATGAATCGGTATGACAAGGCACAAATTCGTGCAAAGCAAGATCGTATTTATTTTCACGTTATATATATATTTATAAAATAACCTTTTAATAACGCCTGCGCTGATTGGTTGAAAAGCGAAAAATTCCGTGCTTCTATAACGCTATAGAACACGGGAGTTCTCCACGAACCTCAAAACAAGACACTAAAACAAACGTTTTCGCCTGAAATATCGATTAAAAATCTTCGTCAACCTGAAATTTTGTATCTTTAAATCTTGTATCTTTGTATTTTTAAATCAACTTTTTCAGCCTGTTTTTTCCATAATTTTGCAGTCGGCAAAACTGAAAATTGATGCCGGTATTGTTGCTAGGCAACATTTTCTTGTTACTAGTGAGAATATACTTTTTAATCGCGTTAAAAATATTGTTTTTGTGTTATTATCCCAAGGTTATTTAATAAAGGAAATAGAAAACATTTTTTCCTGTGTTTCTATAGAGTTATAGAAACACTTGTGCTAGTTCGGGAGAACTCGAAATAACGTGGAAACACTCGCACTACGTGCTCGTGTTCCCACTGATTATTTCTCGTTCTCCCAAACTAGCACGCGTGTTTCTACTACTCTATAGAAACACGGAAAATGTTTTCTATTTCTTAAATATGGACTGGAGTTGATCTTAAAAGGTGCATGCAATTTGATACCCAGCCTGCATGAAATTTTTATTACTAAAATAGAGCAGTGGCCTAGCCACGGGGGGGGGACTAGGGGGACGAGTCCCGCCCCCCCCCACTCTCCTCCAGAACCACCTTCGAGATATGTTTAAATCCGTTGAGAAACTGGGGGGGGGGGGGTAACACTGATCCGATTTCATGTCCAGCTTATTATTCGCAATCTAATAACTGAAGACGCAGGCATTCTTGACCGAATTATTGTTATAATCTTCTGAATTTTGTAAAATCTCACGCCATAATGCACGAAATGGCGTTTCAGAGGCTCTGAATTTCAAAATTTCCCCGGGGGAGCATGCCCCTGGACCCCCTACAGTGTTCGCACCTTCGGCGCTCAACTTGTCCCCTCCATTTTGTAAACTGGCTACGCCACTGAAATAGACTTTTTCTCGGTGGAAAGTATAACTGCACGCATATATTCAAAGTTATTCACTAGATAATCTACAGGGTGTCCCAAAAACCCGAAAAACCATTGAAATAACGTATTGTTAAAATTTGAATGCCCTAGCACCAAGCCGAACGCAAAGTGCCAAAGATGCGTAAAATATTGACAAGGGTGCATATATTAAATATTGACTTATCAAGAAATTAAAATATCTTGGTAAAGCGCACGATTTTCTGCTCTTGGGAGTTTAAAACAGCTTCTTAAACGTTTTTTATGCATAAAATTTACTTACGTCAAGCTTTGATGCACGTGTGGGTTCAGCAAAGTGCTGAGGCATTCAAATTCTAATAATACATTTATTTCAATAGTTTTCGGGTTTTTTGGTACACCCTGTATATGCTTACGTTTACTGATAAACGGCTATATAGAATAATTTATTGTAAATTGAATCTTACCCAAACTTCATCAGTTCTGCATGCAATTGCAATTGTACTGAAGACCTTTTACTAATTTGTAACAATTTTTCAGCTCCTTACACTGATATATAGCTACAATCGCTTTTCTGATATCAGTTAAAATTAATGATACAGTACTTGCAGCCATCGCCGAATATAATCGGCCTTTAAGATCGGACAGGTGAAAAGCTGAACTGACAGGATTCAGTTGCTGTTAGTTCAGCTTTTAATTTCTATTGCGGCATAATTATTTTCTATTCATATAATATAAACATAATATATTCTATACTAATTTGTTTATATTTTGACATAGCTAATAGACCTTACCGATTATTCTCTATACCCAATGGCCTAGTTTACATGTCAAATACTTACTCATGTTTTGTGCTTGAGTTGGCCGGAGAACAGCAAGAAACACATTCGTCCAGGAAAACATGGGAAAGTATAATCTTTATCTGCCCCTGACATACTAAAATAAGTTAACATGGAAACAAGCCCATGCATTCGGTAAAAGAGACTAATCGGCAAAGTCTATTGAATTTAAAGACTACGTACTAACAAAAATATACTGAATTAGAGACCGCATGAACATATATTTTTATTTTAAATCTAAAATTGTGTCTTATAATTATAATTATTTCCTGAAGGACTGCATTCTAGCTGCGAATTATAAAAGTACAAGTCCCAGGATTTTTTATAGTGTTAGTTATAATTTATTTATTCATGCTCCGTGCATGCTTATATATATTTGATGTCTAAAAATGATTGCAGCAAAACTGTTGTACATGCGCGGTCGTTATATACATGTACAACCATGGCCATGATGATACATGTTATACTTTTAAAATTTATTTTATTCGAAGTAGTCCTATATTTGATACATTATACTATATATACTTGTAAAGCTAATAACGCTTATCGGTTGATACTATGCATACGCAAGTGAAAGGCTATCACTATCAGTTCCACATCAGAGAAGCCACTCTGACTTGAAATGCATGCATCCATTCAATTAAATAATGTTAATTAATCACTCAGAAATGGAATTTTTACTAGATTTTGTTTTTTTCGATGTTTGCAACAAGAAAGAAAATCTGCTTGGATTACAGTATATGTTGAAGGAGAAATTATACAATCTTTTAAACGCCCCCTTTAACTATATGTTACAGATTGAAGCGCAAATGCTAAACAACCTTATATAGTCATGCAGGTATATAGAACCTACAATCAGGAGCAAAAATTATTGAGACAACCGCATAAATGCCCCCCTCACCCCCAATTCAATGTTGTGTGAATGTCTGAAAAGTGAAAATTCAACCCACTTTTTCCAACATTGATCATGCATGGAGCAGGGGGGAGGCCGACGTACTTTAAAATGGCCAAAACGTGAAAAGTCTGACTATTTTTGCACGCGATTGTAGTAATTCTGTCAACGTATAGATCTCATAGCTAGAATCTATTTTCAGCTGAAAATTTGTAACGTGTGAAAAGTAACATCTTTCTCAGGCTATATAGCCATGCACGGCCCAGTTTTAATCAGAGGCGTAGCCAGGACCAAGGGGTGGGGCAGCAAAAACCTAGATGGGGCCATGCTTCAATTATTTTTTTAGAATGAATTTTCTCGGGGAGGGGGGGGGGGCAAAATTGTCCGCCCTGGCTACACCTCTGATTTCAATATACATGCACCTTCTGGAACCCTGAAAACAATTTTCGATACTTTTGCGGTTGCGTCAATACTATAGCTACAGAGAGTAGTAGCGTTAAAACGTATCTTGTCTTACCATTTTATTTTTAGTTCAATATACAAAGTAACGTCCATGCATGGTCGTGGGAAATAGTATTCCCCCTTCCCAAAGCACAATGTTGATTCAAACAATGATCAGTTGGATCACAAGTCAACATTGTAAAGGGGGAGGGGGGGGATTGGTGAAAATGTCAATATATAGTCTATAGGAATTAATATCCATGATTGCAGTCAATATGTCAGTGGAGTTTGAGTCATTTTACTCAAAGGTTAGTAATTGTCTCTATATGATTATCTATGATAATAAATCGCATACAAGCGAAGCTAGTATAGAATGAAATCAGTCAGACAAAGCTAATTTTGTACAGATATTAGTCGGGACCGCGGATGAATCCGTAAGTCTGAAACTGTACTTAATTTTGCAGTCATAACGCCCCTGATGGAAACTGGCCAGATTTAGTTGGTGAAGTCATCTGTCAGTGTGGTGAAATAAATCACTGAAAGTTTTACCTATATGGTCGTAGCTCTTGAACAACGCCCTGTATACATGCACGAGAGAATATAGTATATCCCAAAGGTCGCGGGTTCGATTCCCACCGTGGTCAGGCAAACTTTTCAGCTTGCCTGGTGTGGATGCATACTCAGAGTAACATCACGCACTGGAAAAAAAAGTGAAATCCATACTATGAAATTTGCAATTGCACCACCAAATCCATACTATATCCATACTATTTCCATAGTATGGAAATATACAATTATTATGGATAATCAAAATCCATTCTATTTCCATAAAGGTCCATACAATTTCCATTCTATGACCTTCCATGGATTTTCAATTTTTTTTCCGGTGACAAACGCTTAACATAATATATTGGGGGAAAATATTTGAAGAAATAGTACCTTCAAAACGCCGCATTTGAGCTTCGGGTTCACTACAGGAAACTCATCTGAGATCATGAATGGGTTCATAATTTGACTGTTTTTCTTAATATATTATAATAACCTGTGCGTCGGTTATAACTTATTTGTATAATACAAACCAACACTTCCTGTTTAATGTTAATCTTCCTGTTTATATTGTCATGCAGCTTTGCCGCCGAACGCCAATATTGGTCAAAATCCGCTAAAAATAACCATCTTATAGTATGGTAGAAAAAAGAATTACTCTTCCCACTTCACTAAGATCCTATACCTATAGCGAGAAACTAGCTCCCAATGTGTACACACATGCATCATGGCAGTCATGCATCATGCGCATCACATGCTCAGTTCGACTCATATGTATCTGGAGCGCCCTTTGTGTTTGTGTAGATTAAACTGAATATATAGGTAATAAAAATTATGGAATATAAGAAGCAGTATAAGGGGCCATACAAAATTTATTGTACCCCGGGCCGGAGCAAATCAATTTTGAATGTTAAAAAAAGCAAGGTTGATGTGATAAAAATCTCCAGGCCCACTCGGAACTTTGCTAAAAAACGTTGCTGCCCCGCATTACTGTCAGTAAAGAAAGCTTGTGCACCTGCATGTGCTTACGAGTTGCTTACCATGTTCAGCCTGATGTTCAGCTAGAGGAAATCGCTGAAATGTGCGGGAAGTCTCACTGACACTGCGACCCCGGCGGGTCTGAACTTCTCCTACAGAGAATAAACCGCGCCCTGGCCTTTCACTTGTAGTTATTTGATCTCCTTCATCGGACGAAGATTCTGGCACTGACGAAGATTCTGTGCTGCCACATGACGGAATGATATACATGCATTCATCAGCTTCTGGATAGGAATGATTATACTTGCATGCGCTATCACTTTCAAAGGTTCGCCGATCACCAACTGAATTGTCAGAGTTGCATGTCACCATGCACAAGGAGTCTCATCACCACTATAATTCTTAATGTGTGCCACAACTTGCAAGGTGCCCCGCTTCGATGTAGTTGCAGGCAGAAAAAATATATGTGCCCTGCTTCTACGCAGCTCAAAAAAAGTATGTGGCTCGTCCCCTTTTGCTCCGGCCAAGTATATGATATGAAATAAATTTTGCACGGCCCTTAATCCTGTAACTCAATATTCTTGAGGGGTTCTTCTGCGAAAAATCGAGAACTTTGCGATCATTTCAACAAGGATAATAGACTATGCATATTGCATGTTGACAAAACCTCTTCAAAATTATCTCGTTTCACCGACATCATTTCAAGCGGTTGGGGCCGAGGAGCGGCCGACGAAAAATTAGGCAGGCCTGGAAATAATGGGACACCTTAGGATCCCTCCATGCAGCATATCAGCATGCCAATATATATGATAACAATATATTGTACTTTTACTATAATTATTGTCTATTGTTAACCAGTGCATTGTATGATATAAATGATATTGGCTTTTGTGAAATATTGCATGGCTTCCTGTCGGTAAATGTCGTTGATAACAGTAACTTCCCACGTTTTTTTTGTTGAAAGAGCAAGGAACATAAAACTATCTAGTCTGTAGATCTGTTTATAATTAGGCTATACTAGTGAAATAAAATGATAAACTCTTTGTATTTAATTCCCCCAAATGGCAATGCATATAAAGATACCCGTTTATATATAGGCTACGCGGCAAAACAAGTTTATGGACGTTCTTTACAATATTATAAGTCGGTTACAAAAGAGCAAGTTTTCATATGGCAAGTTTTATTTGCTTCTATAGACATATAGACATATAGACTATGCCGGTGCAAGCAGACAAATGACTTTTGCCATTATTGTAGTTTTCCTGCGACTCATATACATTCGTTCAAAAGCTAGCAAGCTATAGGCTTTTGAACAAGTGTACTTGTCGTAGTCAAAAATTAGCAGTACAAAGACAAAGTACAAATATACAAATATTGTCGGTATGGCTCAACAGTGCACAGAAAACAATTGATTTGTTATGTGAAAAAGTTGGTCCTATATACGTAATACACACGTGCAATTAGTTATTTAGCAAAATAATTGTCGGACGACGAAGCCTGTAATTATAGCTTAACGTTACAGCATGCACACCCTTAATTTGTTCACTTTGTACATTCGACATTTTGTTTTGGTTTGGGTTTTTTGTTGATTAATAGTCAGTATTTTAATATTTCCTTCGACATTCGATATCTGTTGTATAGTGGGGTCAAATATAAGTTATAACCCTTATAATACATGCACCACAACTAATCTCCAAATTTTTTAAGTTAAAATCATTCATAAACCATTTTACTGCTCATTTTAAAGAAGCCTAGAGGCGACAGCATAATATTACTTTAACTAATTTAAATAACGTGTATTTTACATTTTTATGTTTCATATTTTGTATTGTTTTGTGTTTTATATTCTTGTGTTTTATATTTTGATTTTTGTATTTTTATTTAGTGTTCTTATAGACTCAACAGTTCAGAAAGTATTCAATATTTAGCCCAATGACAATGTTATACAATTAATGTCTTCCTTATCGTTGTCCAGTCGTTTAGTTGAGACAGCGTCAGACAGTCCCGATACGAATATTGAATATATATGGATATAGTACTCATAAAATTTTATCAGTATGTAGAATGAAGTCAATGAACAGTTAGACACATATGGAATATAGTCACTATAGTAATATAGACTGATATGCAATATCATATTTTCAAACAAACTTATCATACCTTTGTTATCAATCGTTAATAGGACACCTTAATTCCTTCGATTCGTTCCTTGGCCTTGCTCTTCCCAATTTAAACTATAAAGTTACATTTAAATTTATAGAACTGTTGACCAACTTTAAAACGGGTTCAACATGCCGGAAGAGGAAGCCTTTTAAACCCGCCAATTTGCGTAATGGATTATTCTTAATGCGCGAAGATGACGGAAGACATGATTGAAAATTCCGTCGTGTACTTGACTGCACAACGATATGCATGTGTAAAAACGATTCCGATGAATTAATCTTAAAATCTGAAATGACTTACTTTTATTTGGGTTTTTTTTGACAAATGAAGTCCTAAATCAAGTCCTGCCTGACATGCTACACTACAACACAATTCGATGTTAGAAATATCAGGTGACCATTTGATGATTAGAAATTCATTTAGAATCCCACGATACCTCAGAGTGGACTTGAAAGAGATCTGTTCGTTATGTGTTCGTTATCAGATCTGATCTGCCCGAATGTGCTAATAATTGGCTATAAGAACAATGCTAAATTATCTATGAATAGATCACACTGCATACGCAACGCTCTCAATTTTTACTTGATCAAACAACCATGCCAGCTATTATTGATTCATGAATTTTAATTTTATAAAGCAAATAATACTTAAACTGTCCGAAAGAAGTTTAGTCACTTGCCTAAAAAGTATTTCTAATGGCGCAATCAGGAATCAAACCCATGCAAGGCATAGTCCCCGAGCCAACGGCGCGGAGCGCCGTTCCGGGCGTAAGCCCGGGGCGAGGGTACTAATTCCCCCTGGCTATTTACACTCCGGGGGAACGAAAGCATTAGCGAAGTCTAAAGTTCATCAATGATCGCGGGCGTGAGTGACCAACGGTGGGTGGTCATCCTCACTGATCTCAAAGATATGGTGACTGTCATAAATAGCGAACACTGATTGGTCAAATTTAAAATTTGCACTGTCACGACTGCATGACGACAGCGAAATAGCAAACATTTCTTGATTTGATGATTTCTTGCAAATATATTTCATTTTTGCAAGATTTTGTGAATTTCAAAAGCTTTTTAAGAAAAAAAGGGCGAAAGAATATCGGCTAAAAGAAGGGAGCAAAGGCGCAGACGTTAACGAAGGTAAGTTTGTTTTAAATATTAATGTACTGTTTGCTTTATAATTGCTTTAAAAGCCGATCGTATAAACGTTGCGTATAAACAAAACAAGACAGCATATAATTTCAGTGTATACTTTATTGACTACCCTTTTTTATTATGATTAAATTTTTTAAATAAAAACTAAGAAAACAAAGTTATTTGCATGCGAGAATTTGAAATCATTTTATTCCAAACTCAAAGTTTAATATCGATAAAAGCCAAAAGGCAGTTTTTAATAGTTTTACAAAGAACACTTTAAAACGTTTTGTGAAGCGTTTGTGGTTGAATTGAAGCTTATTTTACGTATAATAATATACCTAACAAAAGTATGTTTGGGAAATTGGTAATTTTGTAATTAAAGTGACATTTTAGGGGATTTTTCTTTTGTAAAAATATTCTTAAAAAATTATCGTGTTATCATGACAACTACTTTAAATACTTCATGTTCGGAAAATACAATGGTTTTGTTAGAAGGCGAGGGTTTCTGCATGCATGTATTTTCTAGTATAGACGATTATTATAATGGCTAAAGCGCGCTCTAACACTGCATGGATGGTTGGTCCACAAGCCAAAGATCTTACTTTCGTTCCGCGTTTGGGATATTCAGAACGGGGTGCAGACCTAAACGATCAGAGTAAAACAGTTAATTATAAAGTAGCTCCCTCTATATAGATCAGACGTCATCCTCGCGTCTCATGCATGTGTGGAATCTTCGTAGCCTCGCTAGAGGTCTTGAAACAAACAGCCGGAAGTTGTTTTTGAGTTTTTGTCCACAGAGAAAACGCATTAAAATGGTCACGTGACTGTTGCCATAGCAACAAAAGCGCAAATAAAAAGCATAATGCAATAGTTCTACCACACCAACTTTAATTAATGAAACACATTCATATTGACTAGTAATAATATTTAGTTTAGTTTAATGTATTTTTCGCCATCTTGATTCTCAATTGTTTTCACCATTGTGTTTGCACCCCCTGCAAATTTACCTATAGGGAATTCCATTGTGTTTGCACCCCTTGCACTATTGTATTTCGTTCTGGCGTCGGAAACCTTGAATCCCCCTATTGACATGTAATGATGTGGTGTTCTATCTGGTGAATCTAATAAAACTATATATAGTGCAGTTACGAGTTGTTTTATGTAAAAGCCGAACTTCTAGTTGAATGTTTTGAAAAGTTTCCCATACCAGACATACCACGCATGAATCCCTAGGGGAGTCTGGAAGCACACTCCCCCAGAAAATGTTTGAAATTTGAATCCCGGAAATGCCATTTCCTGCATTCTGAGCATCCAAATTTGCTCTAAAATTTATGCTAACTATAATTGTATTGCAAATAAAAGAAGGAAAAAATGCAAATTAAAAAAAATTTTAACAATAATTTATCATTACTTAGTGGCAGAAAAACGTAGCAATTTAAATCGATTTTGTTAAACAAGGACAAACTGCCTAAAACTAACTTTCCGTTTTATATCTATTTGTTATTCATTGCTAGTTTGTTTGTATAAATTTAGGAAAACGGTACTTTCCCTGGGGGGGAGGAGGCAAAATGTGATTTCATGGGTGGTGGGGGCGCGCAAGGGGGGACGGCATTTGCCCCCCCCCCCCCCAGCTTGTGTGTTAAAAAAGACCCTGGATTTTGTATGTGCCTTTATGAACAAATGAGTATGATTGTGTAAAGACTGCTTTAGCAGAATTCGAAGTTTAACCGAAATGTCTAGAAACACTAAGACAAAAACTGAGAACAATGTTCAATGTTTCTCCAATCTTCATAATCTTTGCCATAAGCCATCATCATTCATATACAGGTGTAATTAATTAATATTAGCGTTACTATATTTAATTAATTATTTATTGTAGACCGCGGTTCTTCTTATCAACTTTGATGAGAGTTATATGTTTTGCCCGAATGACACATGGATTTCCGCTCAATTGCGCACATTTTGGGGGGTCTGTGCCCCCCCCCCCCCGCCGATACGCCTATGTTTGTATATCGACAGAAGACTTCTGCCTTTCCTGGAAATGATCATATTTGTCCTGCCTCGAGTGTATTCAATACGAATTTGGTTGAATGAGAAGGTTACCTAAAATACTGAAAAATTTAGAGAACTGTAGGGAGCCACCTTAAATTAATAGTTAGTTTGATTGTTGCACAAAAGGCTAAATGAACAAAATTACCAACATTGTGGTTAATGAAATATTCCTTAAGTGAATTTAAACTGCGGGGAGGGGGTAACACTTTTCACAGGGGGTTAAGCAGCTCTAAAAATAGATTAAGTCGTATTATGTCGATCTTGTTTAAAAAGCGTGAGCTTTTTCCATCGCTAGGTAGTTCAACTATGCAACATCCACTCCGGTAACACTGACCAATTAACTGCCTCAATAATTTCCCTAACTCACAAATCTTCCATTTGATTTGATCACAGTGATTTGATAGAACATTAGGAAGGAGGCGCAAAGTCAGCTAGTCCGATCGAATCCGACGAAACCAAGAAAATACAAGCTTGAATTGACACCACCACGACACGGACAGCTCCAATGAAGTTCATTGCTACTTCTTCCTCAACTACCTCTTCTCCAGTCGCTTTCCTGCCAGTAGTCACTTCTTCTTCAGCCAGTTCTTCATCAGCTACTACTTCGCTAGCTTCTTCTTCGTCTATTTTGACAAACAACAGAGAACTGACGGGATAGGATAACAGGGGATAGGATGAATTCGCAACCCAAATTCGTCCGGTTCCACTTGTTCACACGGATTTGTACGGTTACCTGTCCTCCAATTCGTCTCGTTTCTTGCGCTCACACAGTGGCGTAGCCAGGGTAAACAAAGTGGGGGGAGGGGGGACAAGTTGAGCACAAAAGGCGCGAATAATCTAGGGGGTTCGGGGGCATGCTCCCCCGGGAATATTTTGAAATTCAGAGCCTATGAAACGCCTGTTTGGGGTGAGATTTTACAAAATTCAGAAGATTATAACATCATAAAATACAAAAAATATTACACTTTAAGACTTTGAACTATTTTCAAAGTGAGATTTTACAGGATTCAGAAGTTTATAACATTATCTAAAATACACGAAAAATAATACATTTTACGACTTTGCTCCTTCGCCCAGCGGCTACGCTTGTGTTCCAAGATCAGCCATGTAAAGTGTAGTGAAATGTATCTCATCGTAATATTAAATCCTAAGAAAACTAAAGCCTCTGCGGAGGAGAGAGACTTTGAACTATACTGTCGATCTATTTACAGTGGTAGCTTTCTGTTTTTAGCTAAAAATCGGATCAGTGTTACCCCAGTTTCTCAACGGATTCGAAGGTGGTTCTGAAGGAGAGTGGGGGGGGGGGGTGGTGGCTCGTCCCTCCCGTGGAATATATAAATATATATGTAAGTCTAATGAAAGGTGTAAAAAAGTTGAAAAACTATTTAAACACAATATACAGTAATAATCATGAATTTGATGAAACGCCCTTGGAATAAAAGACGTACTATGTCTGTGTGTTCTTGAGGACTGTCTTGGAAAGCGGTGTCTAGTCCTCCTCAGTTCGTAAGTTTAATTATTTCTGATGGCTAGATAACGGTTACATGGTTGTTTGGGACTTCCACGATTCTTTTCAGCTCGTTGCATGTTGCCTTTTCCCTTCTTTCTTTTAGCATGGGGAGGGTATATTTCTCCAGTCCTAGGATTCTCACGCTTTTTTGTTGAACGCGTTCAATTTCTGTTTCGAGATATTTAGGGATTCCTTCCCAGACTGGCGAAGCGTATTCAAGTATTGGCCTCATTTTGTCGTGTATGTCAGTACCCAATCCCGAGTGGTAGGGAGGATTTCCTACATTCTCGAAGGAATAATAATTTATTCGCTTTTTTTGTAATTTTGCGAACATGGGTGTTCCACTTTAAGTCGTTTTGCATCCATACACCAAGAGGTTTGACGGTGTTTACTCTTTCTATTTCATTTCCGTCTGTTAGTATGGGTGGAGGTTCAGGAGAGGATTGGGATCCACATGCTCTAAGAAGCATATCTATGAAGCTCAATTATGTTTAATCAGCAAATCTAAATTATGTTTAAAGCATATTAATGAGCAAATCTAAACTTTGCTCAATTATGTTTAATCAGCAAATCAATTGTTTAATCAGCAAATCTAATTAAGAAGCATATCTAAGAAGCATAATTATGTTTAATCCCTTATTAATCATCCAGCACAACGTTTTTATGAGGTATAAACCATTCAACGGTAACAGGCCCTTTACCCCGGGTGCGAGGTTGTTCCTCGCTCGTAGAAATACCGCATAATACAAAGTTTACTAAGCGAGCTGAGCCAGTCCGCTGCTATTTTTGATGTGGGTATTTTGCGAGCGTGGGAAAAACCTCATCCTGGGTACATGGACGCTTTTTGGATTAATGGAAACATCATTAATGGAAAAGTCAAAAAGGTGGGTGACTAGATGGTATGGAGAATTTAGTGAAATTTCCAATACAATAAAATAACAATGCTACATTCCGATCATTGAATCGTGACTAGACGTACGATGGACATCAGAAAACTGATGGTAGGGAGTATGGCGTCGAAAAACAAAAACATTCGCGCAAGAGAAAGCGAAGAAGCATTTAAGATGACGCAAAAAACCCTGCACAAGCCGTCTTCTGAAAAAATCATGCAAGCTGAAAAGCCCCCACTTCTACCATCACTGTATTTCCTAAAGGTCTGTCCCTAAGTGAATGAATAATGCTAGGCTAGTAACTATTCCTAAATGATGTCACAAGATAAGGTTTACAAAACCTATTCTTACAGGATAGATTTCGCGTTATGATTTGGGTTAGGATAATAGCATTTGCATTTAACTTGATGTTCTTAAATGTGCATGAACATTGACAATAACAAATTCCATGCTTTTCATGGCCACCGAAAAGTTAACATTACATTTTATTAATACTGGTATAGCAGTTAATTATACACATGCATTATTACTCATTTTTGCTATACTTGTGTGCTAAATATCTGTTCTATAGACTATACTAAGATGTTTGTACACTGTAATGGTGTAAGCTAGTACAACACATGTATAAAATGGTATTGTGCAACAATAATTCAAATGTTCAAAACTTGAAGCTTGATTTCCTTTTCAAAACTATCGCACATAAACGTTTGACTCCATTTTAAGCATTTACATACGTAGCCGGTCAAAGCGCATGATAATTTTTCACTGGTTGTCCGGCGGGATACATTGCATTTATTAAAACCCACGTGACTACAAATCAGCCAATCACGTTTATCTTAAGAACTAGCTATATAACAATCTGGTATATATGTTGAGTTCTTGTTTATTACTCAGCTCTTGTGGGCTCATGGTGCTTTTTTGTATACGAAGTATTTTTTATGTTATAAATGGTCCATACATCGATGGGTTTTAGCTAAATGTCTTGACCTACAAATGTTTTGATCTGCATGTTTTGGTCAACATAAATGTATTCAAACTTACGAGACGATAAAATCATCATGATACACGTTCCTATTACATGCATGTGCCATATGCTGCCACCGAACACAAGGTCAGTACAAATAGTGAACAATTTGGTCAGTTTGACAACATATTTTAGCCATAGAGTTTGACCATGCACCAAGTGCTGCACCGGTTCAACTTAGTGAAACTCATCTATAGCCTGTACGGATTTAAATTTTAATGTATTTATTGATTTCACCAAATTCTGTTAAAGTTATGATTGCATTATATTACGTATGACGTTGCAACATGCATCGCTTAACATACAAAACATTTACATCACGACAAAACAAAACTTTTTTTGAGTCATCGTAATTATAGTGCATCATTCATGCAGGTCTAAATATACTTTTTAGTAGCAGAGAGTATAGTATTGAAATTGCTCCTGCTTCGTCATCTCATCAACATATATCAAATAACCCTTAATTGAGGAATTGGGCATCAATTAGTAAGAAATATTTAACTATTAGACATGGACCAGTTAGAAAATGCTGAATTATAGGTATATAGGCAGTTAAATAATATACTGACAATTCGAGTTTAGACCGAGTTCATACAGATATATACTTCTTTAGTTTCCTTTAGCAGCTGAAACAATTTGGAGAATGAAAATGAATAGGTTGATGATATCAAGATACAAGTTGAGAGCAGCAAAGACGTATTCTTCAGGAGACAGAGCGTATCTTTTACCACCACCCATCATGATCTGAGTATCATACACCAGATACTGAAAGAAAAGAAAGCAACGGAATGGAAGTTGTCACAATTAACTTATTATAAATGTCAGTGATAAAATTGCTTACTTATGTGAGTTATGTATTGTGTACTGTATATGCTTACGACAACATATGAAGAATGGTGTGTGTTATTAGCACTTCAAACTTTAAGAAGTGTAATTGATTAAGATGAATTGAATAAAATATAAAAGTATTTTGTGTTTAGAAATCAATCCTATTGTGTTATGCATTTGACATGTATTAATCTAGTTCATTCGTTATAGTTATCAGTTATAGACCTGAAACGAGGGGTATTCCACAAAAAATTACCCTGAGGGATGAAATATTCCGAGGGCGAAGCCCGAGGAATATTTCATCTCGCAGGGTAATTTTTTGTGGAATACCCCGAGTGAAAGGTCTATAAATGGTATATTATACCGAACCTTTCAAAAATAAGTAGAAAACAAATACCATTCAATTAACTTTTAATTTCAAAACACAACTTTTGATAACTTTACATTTAAAGTTTACATTTAAAGTCGAATTTCCCGCTCAAGCGTGGTATTCGAAGTCGAATACCATGGCCCCGGGTAAAACACCCAGGGTTCAAATTGCCTAGGTCATAGTATTCGCTGAAAAATACCATGGTCATGTGGTACAAATTTAGTTCTCTGATTGGACAAGCTCATTGTGAGGTATAATATTCCAAAATATATGATGCGAGAGAACATATACACCGATATGAGAAATAGGTGCATGTTAGTTTTGCAGTTCTCCCGAAATTTTCGATCGAATACATACCATTGAAAAAATCAGTGCTCCGAGACATGCATAAACAAGCTGAAGAATCTAAAAAATGACGTGTAGTAGCTATAGTGATACTTAAAACTATAACTGACAAGTATATAGAATGATGAAGTTTGAATTGAGCAATATAGCCTAGGTTTCATATAACAGGACATCGCCAGAATTAATTAGGCTACGTCCGCACTAATTCGTTTTCGTAGCGTTTCAGGTAATTATACCATTGTTCTTTATTTCTTTGTGACCGAAGAACAAAGCAAAAACGCTACGAAATCGGATTGGTATAAAAGATGCATGCATGAGGTTTGTTGAATATAACACACTTTCGATACTATATAGCTGGACTGTTATTTTTTAACAAAGTCTAATCGTGTACACGTACCCTGCTGTAAAAGAAGATAGACAAAAAACCAAACAAAATAAGAATGATCAACGCCACAAAAAGCATTCCTCCCATCATGGTGAAATCATACTTTAACAAAAACAAAAAAAGATGACAAGTAAGAGTTTTAGGTCGAACATATGGGAAAGATGATTGAAGTAAATATTCGTTGTTTCCAACAAGATTGTATAATACGTCATATTCGCACTCATGTCTCGTTTACCTTGGTTTGGAAGGAGAATAAAGTTATGGCAAGAACAACAGCCTAAAACGACATTACGTTTCTATTAGTTTTTTGACTGACGTTTTTTAACCAGTCCACAATATAAAAAGTACGACGTCTCTCCAAGACACCATCACTCACTGTTGTTATTCCAGCAGCTATAAGAACAGCATCCGCATCGTATGTGCTGGAATAAAATATAATGGATTGATATAGATTGTATTGAAGTAGTTCATCAACCTGCTTACAAACTTTCGGGACATCTTAAGTCCGCAAAATGGTCTCACAATCTCTGCATGGAGTTGAGTTTTGAAATTATGTTATCTTATATGAAAAGTTCCAGTGCAGCATCCCGTACCCAGGTAGTGCAGTGGAAATGAAGTTGTTTGAGTTGTACTTGTGACGTGGCAATAATTTAATTTTCTGGTTAGAAACCGAGACAAAGAAATAAAGAAGAGATAACATGGTTCACTCACAAGACAAGAAAATGCATGGTATATGCAGTAGACAATTTTCAAATGGCCACTAAATTGAAAATTCCACAACTTTTGTAAAATGTATGTGGATATTGGTATAGTTTGGGGTCTTCTGAATTCTAAAAACATTAAAATTTAATTTTAATTAAAAGCGCGAGTGTTTTTGTGAACCATAAATATTAAAAATTGCTCGCGCACAACACCATTCGATGTGTGTAAGTCAACACCGCGGAAAAACGTCTGCGCATGCGTGGGCACAAAAAAGATGGCGAGGAATTTAAATGCCAAATTGTAATAAAAAACATGGCTATTCAATTATTTAAGGTAATTGAAACACACAAAAAATACACTAGACGAGTAGTTTAGACATTAATAAAAAGTTTACTAACATATAAAATCTAAAAAGAAACAGAATTTAGATTAAAAATTACCGTTTAAGACCGGGAGGCGTGTGAACATTTCTTGACAACAACAGAACTTAAAGCAGAAAAGTTAAGAAAACTATAGAATAGTTAAGCATTTGCACACGATTAAATTGTAGAGTAAATCATTACCCTTAAATATAGTCCACGCAAAAATTATACATGCTACGCAAAAACAGTTATTGACAAAAATGTGGATCATATGAACCTAAGAAAAATAACTTTGTACGGTTCAGTTAAAGAACGTTTTATACAATAAATGTATCGACAGTCACCTTTGGTTTATTTTCTTACATAATACAACTTCTTGCACATGTACTGTAGACTGTAATTATTTCTAGTTTTTAGGTTGTCATATTCATTATTCCGGTAGCATTTTCACAGAAAAGGCAAAACATCGAAGTCGCTTCCATTTTGAGTTTTTGACAACCTTCGGAACACTTGACATCACGTTCGCAATACAGATTTTAGTAATGTTGACGCATGCGCAGACGTTTTTCCGCGGTGTTGTGTAAGTCCTTTAATGATTCTAGAGCGGTCACTAAAACTTGGACTTTTTGCGGCATTGATATTTCATAATGCATATGCATGCATGATAAATTTCATAGATTAACGCACTATAGGATTTTCAATTGATGTTCAAGTCCCCCGTGCAAAAGCCCAAGTTGTAGCGGTTGAGCGATCATGCATGGACATAATTGTTTCTGTTTCGTCTATTTGATTCAGGCGTGC